TATGATATCCAACGGGTTCCAAACTGATAGGATAAGGATAATAATTTCACAGGACACAATATATCGATAGAACACAGTATATCAATAGGGCACAATATTTGAGGAAATTGTAGTTGGTGGCTGATGAGCGACTCCCCCGAGAGGGGGAAGCAAGTGGCTTTTATAGTTTCGTCATGGGAGAATGGTCATGTGACCAATTGTTGTGAGGTAAAAGGTACTCGGATGGATCAAAGTTGTCCCCGGGACCATGCTAACTATCAATTTTGGAGTTGGAATGTGGGATTATTTTCGAAATGGACGGATGTTTACTTTGAACAAAAGGGGAGATTGGCATTTTTCCCTTTTTTAAGTTAGATTTTAGTTTAGGGTTAAAGGAGAATTAATTGGGGGTTTAGAAAAATGCGGGATATTAATCGGAAAATTCAGTAAAAATTCCGGATTTCACAATTTTATAAATAATTTTTAAATTACATAAATATTTTATGATTGACTGAAACAACTAAATAAAAGCAACAATCATCAATATGAAATGCTGATAATAGGAAAATTCTATAATTGGTATATAATAGGATTTTTAACCAAGATGACTGATCTTTAGAGTATCTTCCAATGCATTTCTAGTCATGTTACTAGTAGCATATATAAATTATTTTAATTCCAATTTTTTTCTGCATATATATAAATAAAATAAGCATTGAAAAACATCACACTTAGCTAATCAGAATCAAAGTTTTACCTATGGCACCATTATCTGCTTCTGCCATACATACACATCTAACTTCACACTCCAGAAAACTGGAAGATGACCATTATTTCTCTCTTGCTTTGAAGATTTAATTGATGATTCTAAGTACTTATAAATCATTTTGATTTAAAAGTTTAAGTCTGTTTATATTTTGATAATCTATACTATTATTATAAAGAGGTAATGTTTGTAAGTTTGTATGTAGGGGTAATCTCTGAAACTACTCATCCGATTTCAAAAATTCTTTCACCAATATTTAGAATAGAACTTCAGGGTGGACCTAGGCTGTATATTATTCCGTTAAACATTCATATAAATTAAAAGATATCATCTAGGGTTAAGGCTTTTATGTCCAACAGATGGTGCTACCAGTATGACAACCTAAGTTTGCTTTTCTGTGAGGATGAACTAAAGCAGATCATCTTCTATCTATCTACATAAATAAAAATGTAATGTTCATTTGTTCCTACCGATTCCTTTGAAATTTTGACACAATGCTGCATTTGAATACGCACGTGTTTTTATATAATAGATGTGTCAAAATCCACCCTGAGGGGAGAAGGACAGGATTAAGGCTTACCGTAAAGAACTCTGCTTCTATTTATACTATTTTAGATGAGTTTTTTTCGTTTTTGATTGCGTTTTAATCGGGTACATCAACAGAATATACACTAAAAAGGGATTTTTCGATATTACCCCCGCAGGGGAGAGGGACAGGATTAAGGCTTACCATGAAGCACTTGGCTTCTATTATACTATTTTAGATGCGGTTTTTTGCGTTTTTGATTGCATTTTAATAGGGTACGTCAAGAGAATGTACACTAAGAAGGGATTTTTTGAAAAATTCCCCCATGGGAAAGTGTTATACATTTATAATAGATACATTTTGAGCCACAACAACACGTGGCGGGGTCTGCTAGTATTTAATAAATCTATAACTACTAAACATATATCAGTTTCATGTTTATAATTGTTTCAGATGAAAATGATTCTTATTCCAGACACTAATGGCAGCAGGGCATCCAGTTCTGTTAAAATGCATTTCTATTTTACCTTTTAAAATTTACTTTCTTAATTTTTTAAAGTAATTTCTTAATTAAAATTTCTTCTTAAATATCTGTCTCATGCATAGCCAATCAACACTAATAATATAAAATAATTATGTTTTATTAACAAATGTACATTTCTAAAGAACTAGGTAGCCAATAGTTCAATCAATATTAACTCATTTATAATTAAAATTTTAAAAGCATGCAAATTTATAAAACAAAAATTAATGAAATTTCTAAAAAATTAAAATAAATTTAAATTTGATTATCTTTTCTGTAAAATAATACTGAAACAATTTCAATAGTTATGTCACAAAAGAAAAAGGAGTTTCAATTAATTAAAAAAAGCATAATTAAGGGATCAAAAACACAAAATTATATAAATACTAATAAATTAATAACTATTAAAAATAATTATAAAACTAAAACTAAATTAATACTAAATAAATTAAACCTAAAAATAATAATTAAATTTAAAAATAAGAACATAATTAAAACTATGGCTTTTATACTGAAACCAAAACAAAATTAAAAATATTATAAATAGCATAAAAAAAATTAATAAATGTATTACATAAATAGATAACATTAATTACAAATATGTCAATGATTGTAAAAAAAGGAGTATACATTATAAAGGGTCATTTTTGATAAATTATTGCTTTTAACATCAACTGATTTAAATTCTTCATCGAGAATCCTATTTTTTTTTAACTGAAATAACATAGTGCATGAAGCAGATATAAGTTCTTTCTGAATCAACAGTACTTTTACAATAAGGACAAAATCTATTATTAGAAATTTCCAAATGATTGCCCTTCTTCATAATACAAAATTTATTCAGACACAACTGCATAATGAAACTTTTAACAAGATAGCTTAAATCATAATTTAGATAATACCTGGTTTGCCACTGAATGCTCAATCATAAATATAGCCTCGATACATTGACAAATAAGACAGTCTTGGTTCCACAGCTGATTAAATTTAACTTGTATTATCTCATTCAGATGGGTTCTCAATAAAGAATGAGATTGGTTCAAAAAAATAAAGGAATAACCCAAGTCATTAAATATTTTATGAACTGAAGCAGCCCAATTTCTTCTAGCAGATTTCTCCATCTTTAATAATAGATTATAAACATTGTAACACAAATCTTGAGGCAACAAAGCAATTATTTTTTACCAAAATATCAAAGTAATTTATGTGATCTTAATTTCCATTGGAAGTCTGCCCAATTCAGACTTAAGAATCAGTCCAGGGTCTGATCATTCTAATTTATAAAGACATTAAAATACCAAAGCTGAATTTTCTTCAATTCCACCAAAAGATCAAGACTCCAAAATGTGATAAATATGTTAATTTTGATTTCAAAAAAGCATCAAAAAGTTTAAAATTATTATTATTTTTTTAAATTCAGTTTCATTTTCTTTTATAGTGTCAGCAATTGGTGTAAACACAGATTTTGGGCTAAGTATTTTAAATAAAAGTTTAAAATTCCCAAAGAACAAAAATAAAGACCTAAATATTTTAGGTGAGAAACAAACTCTATTTCGTTATTGTTAATGAAGAATTAAAAATAAAATCAAAACTAACTTTAAAATCAAATTAATTTTTAAATTTACATTATTTGTGTGTGGTGGTGTCAGAACATTTTGCTTTTAATATATACTATATACAGATAAAAATTACTAAAAATAATATAAAAACTAAAAATAAATCTGTATTCTGTATATAACTGAAGATTATTATTCAAAAATCAAACTTAAAGAATAGTTGTTACGGAAGCAAAAAACAAATAGCCATCTCTTCAACTCCAAGTCTGAATCAAAAGTGAAGTCTTTTTGTCTCCTATCTCTACACAAATACCTTCCATCCCCTTTCTTAACCCTTTCCATGAATTCGTGCAGAGTCCACAGAGGAAGTTAACAGATGGTCCTTTTGAGTGAAGGATTGTAGAGCTCTGTCACTTATTCTGGTCACTTAACTCTCATCTCTTCTTTCAAGGATGAATGATGTCAAAACGAAAGACAAAATTCATCTCTCAGAGACAGCGGTGATTCTGGTCACTTTTAACAATCTCATCTTTGTTGATGATGTCACGATTCTACTAGGTTGATTATACATGTTCGGGTTTTCTGTGTGTGCAACACTGTATAAAATTTTAACCAACGAAATAGTAAAATTTTTGAAAATGCAGAGTATGTAATTATAGATCACATAGTAAGGAAAGCACACATTCAAATAAAGCACATAATTTTGATGCAGTTATGTTTTTTGTTCTATAACGTTTTTACAGATTGTAATATCAATTTGTCTCTTAACAAATAAAAATTTTAAGAACCTAAGTTAGAAAAGTGTGCATACTTAGATATTTTTCAAAATATTACCATCTTATTTCTTCTTAACTATCTAAGTAAGATTAACATCGTAATTGATGTAGGATAATTAAATAAAAAAAAAAAAAAAACAGGAATCAGTGACTTTCCAAGTAGGCACTGGAAAAAAATCAGAAGCATTTTCTCTCACAAAATATTCTTTCCTGAGATAGGGAACATTCTCTAATACAATTGTACAGCATGAGTAGCATCCAGTCATCCATATTGGATATAACGAAATCAAGGCAAAAGACGAAAGACGGGTCGAAAGACAACTATCCACTTGTCTCCGAGAAACGAGAGAATCTTGAGAGAAAAAGTTGTCCAGAATCGCGTTTGGAGTGATGCGATGATCTCTTGAGACATAAACAAATGATTAGCCAATCATCAACTGGCTTGTGAGAGATGAGAGATGATGACCAGAATACGACTCGTAATGTAACCTACTTACACACTGTTTCTTGTAAAGTGTTGGTTTCAGTTTCAGTGGGGACAGAACATTTTGTTTTTAATATATACACAGATTCAGGAATCAGAAGCAATAATGAAAATAGGTACAATTCATATTGCAATATAAAAGGAATATAATACAGAATATATTTATCATATATACATATATATACACACACACACCTACTAATTTGAATATATATCCTTAAGAATTTCAGTTTAATAATGTTTAATTAGAAAGAATTTCTATTATCATTTGTAATTTATTGGAAGAATAAGTAATTGGATAATTTAAAGATTTCAATATTTTATTAAATTAATATACTAAAAATGTTTTAATAGATATTTGAAACTGTGAATTAATTCACTTTTACTTACCAGCAATACTTCCTTTATTATTTCTATGAACATCTTTAAATTGCTGATTCAAATCTTCACTGACTTTAATATCTTGAAACATTCTTGCTAATTTATTGACATAATCTGCAGGCATGCCAACATCCTATTTATTAAACGATTAAATTAGATTTAAGAAAATGTAAAATTGATAATAAAATAACAATGATTTTTCAATATAATTAAAATATATCTAATTCTTGATGATTAAAATATTAATAACTAAATAGCTGGATAATAAGTGTTATATTTTTAAGATAAATTTCATATAATATGTTAATAGTTTCAAAATTTCATTAAAACTATTTACTTCATGATATATTTCATTACTATATATCCACTGGACAGATATAATTAAGTTTTCCTATTCAACATTATTTAGAGTGGAATTTAATGAACAGATTATGGTAAAAATTTGAAAAATGCATGAGCACCCACAGCCAGAAAAAATTCTCTAATGATTTAACTAATTAGTTGTGAAAATGTTAGACAAAATTTAGAAAATTTTAGCACTGCTCTATATTCTCAAAATATACTAAATACAAAAATAAATCTCAATATTTTACTGTAACATAAAAGTTCTGTTAAACTATGCTGCTATGGAAAACAACACAACTACAAAAATTTATCTTTTTAATTATGCAATTTTAATGTTTGTTTAATAATTATTTTTATTATAAATTAAATGAAAATTTTTGCTATTTCTTAAAATAATAAAATTCTTCACAGTGTCACTAATAATTTTGAGAAAAATGTCATCACTTATCAATGAAACATATTACATTATTATTATTTCACATTACATTAGGATATTTTAAATTCAGTATGTTAGAGTGGACTTAATTTTATAATATCACTGAATCACACGAGATTGAGTGATGCAGTTAAAGAAAATTAACTGCATGATGGGATTGCACATGCATTCCCATCATCCATAGCCATATTGCTTTATTTAGTTGAAATAGAAAATTTTTTCTTTAATATTTAGTTTTATTAAGTAAGATTGGATGTGGATAAATGAACTGGAGAAAGCTGAGCAGTGTGTTATGTGACAAGAAAGTTAGCTGCAATCTGAAAGGAAAATTGTGTAAATCAGTTGTTAGATCTGCAATGTTATATGGAGATGAGACATGGGCAATAACAAGAGCCCAGAAAAGAAAGATGGAGATGGCGGAGATGAGAATGTTGAGATGGATGTGTGGAATGTCAAGGAAAGACAGAATAAAGAATGCTTTTATTAGAGGTTCTGTTTAGGTAGGCCCCTTGAACAAAAAGATGCAAGAATGTAAGTTAAGGTGGTTTGACCACGTAGAGCAAAGAAGTGACAATTATGTTGGAAAGATGATTGGAAAACTGGTAGTAAAAGGAAAGAGGAAAAGAGAAAGACCAAAGATGCATTGAAAAGATAAGGTGAAAGAATACTTGAATCAGAGGGAACTTAAGAGAGAAGCCCTTGATAGGGAGAAATGAAAAAAATGTATTAGAGAAGAAAACGCTGACCCCATATAAACATAGGAAAAGGCAAAGATAAAGAAGAAGATTAAGTAAGCTGAAATATTTTTTTACTTTAAAATATGCATCTGTTACAATATTTCAGAACTGAAGGAAAATCTTTATTATTAAAAAAAATAAATAATGACTAAATTATTTACAGACATATATAATTCATTAGAACTTTCCTGAATAACATTGAATATTGAGATTAAAATTAGTTTTGTAATAAAAATTGCAAAAAATAATAATTTATCAAAATAACTTTTTACAGTTTAAGTGGTAACAGATCTAAAATTTAACAAAAGGAGTGGAGAATAACTGAGGGAGGTCAGAAATATTTTTAGAAAAAAATGATGTGAATTCAAAGGTTTCAGTTTCAGATCATAAAATTGTAATTTCTTAAATAATTATTCTCTTTTGAATGCAAATTAATTTGACTAAATTATGAGAATGTTTGAATAGGAGAAAGTTTAATTATTTTTTGAAGTTAAAATTGTAAGAAAAACCTTTTTTAAAAATTTTTGTCAAAGCAGAAAACTTTAATATCAGATACTTTCAGTGTTAAGCCCACATCACCTAAATCCACAATGAAATTGTAAAACTGACAAAATTTTCAGTTTCGGAATGTTCAGTTTGACAGAAACAATACTGAAAGCACAGTTAAAAATAATTTAACTTTTCCATTTTTATTCCACTTTTCTGTTGTACTGCAACCAATAAAAATAGATAGATTAGTGATGCACAGTCACATGTAATTTGATTGTCATAATGGTGAAAGTATATCAAAGAGAATGAGAATCAATTTAGAACTATTTATCAAAGAAGTTAAAAAGTATATAGGTTTACATTACAAAAAATGTAAAGAATTTAAAGATACATCATTAAATGGACAACAATTAGCATTAAATTTGAAATGAATGATAGGAAAGTTTTGATATACTGTACTAAGATCCTAAAGTGGAATCATTTAATTATTAAATATTTTAAGTAGGAAATGAAACAGAACAGAAATGGAAAGTGCAGGGGGATTACAGAACTGATCAATTAGTAGTACATTTCCACATAATATTCATTTCAGCCAAGTTAAAACGTAAACATAACTGAAACAAAAACTTGTATGTTTCAGTTCTGTTTCTGAGTTTCTGTTTTCAGAAAAATGTGGAATCCAGGCTTTACAATCTTTAACTGATATAATTTAGGACTACTTTAAATGCATTAAGTCAGATTTAAGTTCTTGCATGTAGCATCTAGCACTTGTGTCAAAATGATATCATTTTGCCACATCCTCATATGTTAGCGTTATGAGAACAGAAGATACTAAATACATTAGTTTTCACAATACAATGTTTCGTTTATTATTGTGTTCTTTTTGGTTAGTTGGTAGGAACAACAAGAGTTATACCATTTCTTTTTTGCTTGAAAGGTTACAAATCTAAACTGCTTCAACATTGGCAGGTCTAAAACTTAACAACAAATACTATAGATAACTATCTACATCATTTACTAACAAAACACTGATCATATGAAATGATATACAGGTATACCTCACCTTACGTCGGTAATTGGTTCTAGGAGAGGCAACTTAAGTTGAAAAATGATGTAAGTCAAATTTACTTGTCACTAGGCTAAACCACAAATAATCATTCCCAGTTCTGTATTTTATTTATACTGTAAATGCATTTTTAATATAGTACAGAAAAAGTAATCTAAATTTACGAATTCAGGTATGTACAGTACATACTTGTAAATGTACATGTTTACAATTTGGCGATGTTTACAGTACATCGCAGACTCTTTATTTGTGAATGTGGTTTGCTCTAACAAGGAGACTCTACGGCTTTGGGGAAATGAATTTTGATGATCTTTGGTGTAGAGGTAGTACACCATGTGAGTGTACTACCTGTAGAATACTGAAGTGCAACACTCAAATATAATCAAGAAAAACAAATTTTAAGTTTTTAGCACTTTATAAGTTATGCGTGCTTCTGCTTGAGCATCTTGTGGCTGAGTGGTAATGCTCCTGACTTGTAAATAAATAAATACATTATAAGTATTTATGAATAAAAAAAAGGAAAACAGCATACACAAGGGAATCGAACCCGAGCACTCAAGCATACAAATCAGGAGCATTACTACTCAGCCACAGGACGCTCAAGCGGAAGCACACACGTATTTGCACAATTATATTTGAGTGTTGCACTTTAGTATTTTACAGGTAGTACACTCACATGGTGTACTATCTCTACATCAAAGATCATCAAAATCCATTTCCCCAAAGCAGTAGGGTCTCCTTTTAAGACATTATAAAATATGATGATTTTGTAACATTAAATAACAAGTACAGTTATTAAAATTATCTTCCAACAGTTCTACTATTGGAAGATAATTTTAATAACTAATTTATAAATAATAATTAAATAATAATTTAATAATAAACTAATTTATATTAAATTTACCAATATCAAGTGGCGCTGACAATGACGCCAAATGGTAGATATTGGAACTACTGTGGAAAACATCAATATTGAGCACTTAAAAACCACTAAATAAGACAACAACACAATCACAGATGTTTTCATGTTTTGTTCTCTAGGATTTATGATGATTATATTAACATTTACTGTAAATGTGCATATTTTAATATGATTTTATGTGCTTTAACGCTTTTCTAGTGATATTATGACTTCAATATTTGTGGTAGATGGATGTAAAGTCAAATAAAATGACTTAAACTTGATTTTTATTTTTCCATATATTTTTTTGACAAACGACATATAATCAAGAACGATGTAACTCAAGGTCAGGCCCGCCGTAAGTGGGCGTGCAAGGCGTGCACCGCACACGGGCAGCACGTCCAGGGGGCGGCAAATCGAGCGATCATTCACGTAATACCGTGTTTCCCCGAAAATAAGACAGTGTCTTATATTAATTTTTGCTCTGAAAAATGCGCTAGGCCTTATTTTCAGGAAATGTCTTATTTTTTCCAGGAAGAAGAATTCACATTTATTATTGAACAAAAAAATTCCCAAGTCGAACTTAGACGAGAGTGACGTATATCCGGCGTGTCGAACTGTCGCCTTTTTATAGCGTCAACATCGGACTCGATGACCAATTAGTGCTTACCGAACCTTAGCACTATGCAAATGTCATGTGGCGTGATTCCTGGCCGACCAATTACCCATCACCAGCCGTAACGTTATGCAAATCTGTGATTTCCAAGCCATAGTCTTATGCAAATCATGCCATGTGGCGTAATTGTCTGCTGACCAATCAGTGGCTGTACTTTCAAAAAGCCAAAGGCCACTTTCAACCATCTGTCGATGACCGTTACGACTAAAAAAAACTTCGCTAGGTCTTACTTTTAGGGGAGGTCTTATATTTCGCAATTCAGCAAAATCTGTGCTAGGTCTTATTTTCTGCCGATGTCTTATTTTCGGGGAAACACGGTAATTAGTCATTGTCATAATACCCACTCTACTTATAGCATAAGAAATGTCTTCGCATGGAGAAAAAAATCTGACTGGCACGCAATTACTATAATCTTATTTATATTATAGTGTTAACAGCGCCTGTATTGGCATTTATCAGAATTAAGATGCAATGTGAAACGTCTGTCGGCAGGTTGAACCATCTGGCAGGCACCCGAAAGCCAAGTACCAATAGTCGTGCTGTATGACAGAAGTTGACAGGTTTGGTGAAAATAGGGAATCCCTACAGAGCTTCCTTCTCAATTTGTACTTGTACGTATTCGAACAGTTCTATTGCATATCAAATTGCAATTATTTTGTTAATAATTCTTCTGACATGGGTCGAAGTATAATTAATGATATTTTAACTTGGTTAGGATTTAAATCTGAAGCTTAAAGACGATTTAAGTAATGAAACAGACATTGACAATATCGATTTGTTTAATGAAATCAATACTTCAAAGTTGCATTTTCCAGAAAACCAGTCTAATGATCCACAAACCCCATTACAATATCTTTTTACTAATGACTTAATTTCAACAGTTCCAAACACAGCAATAGCACTAAGAATATTACTTACATTGCCGGTTTCAGTTGCATTTGGTGAAAGGTCCTTTTCAAAGTTAAAAATTATAAAAAACTATTTAATTAATTAATTAATTTAGGATCAACAATGCACCAGCAAAGACAGTAATTTAGTTTATAGCTATAGTTTCAATTGAACATGAAATCTTAGACAGCTTGGATACAAGAAAATTGATAGCAGATTTCGCAAACATGAAGGCAAGAAGAGTTCAATTTCTGTAGATAAATATTTATATGGTTTTACACTTAAGTAAATAAAAATAACTTAGAAATAATAAATAGTTCTTTTTGTAAAGTATTTCTTTTCTTTTTTCACACCTTTATGAGACAACACTAAAGAGCCTTTCTGGCAAGCTCAGCGCAGGTAGTCGTAGTTAAACAGGGGCGGCACAATCGGTATTGCACACGGGCGTTCAAACAGCTAGCGGCGCCCCTGCTCAAGGTATACATGTATTGGTAAGACACAAATTATAGTTTATGCCTTACCAATGAGGAACAGTGCCAAACTTACAGAAAACAAAAATGGATGGTCATTAATTAACACAGCCTACAGATAGTGTGTTTGAATTACTACCAGAAAATTATGCTTCAAACCTAATGAAAAACTATAGTAGGTCCTTTTAAATTTTGGCACATGTATGCAAGATTTTGTTAGTCAAACAGATAGTTTTATTTACAAAAATAATTTGACAATGTCTAGTGGGAGTCAATCCTGAATTATATGCTCCAAGAATATGTTGAAGATAATCTTATGTAAAACAATGTTACAATTTTGGCTATCAGTTGAAAAGTGATTGAATACAACAAAAGATATTGATTTTAGTTGAATACATTAGTATTCTTAGACAGCTATGTTTCCTTCACTATTATTTTTATTCTTAATCAACAGTCTACTAATAGGAAAAACTGAAATTTAAGTACCCTTTCAGTACATTTTAGGTATTTATCAAAAAATTTTGAGTATCATTGGAGCCAATTCACAAATCCTTATAGTAAAAATTTTGTTTAAACTTTGTGGATTACAATATATAGAATGTTATATGTTGGTTGTTATATTTTAATCCAAATAACTGGTTCAGAAAAAAATTAAACAACTATATTTTGTGAATAAGATTCATAATTCTTTCTTTAAACAAACAGTTATGCATGTTTGAATAATTTAATCATAAGTTAAGGTACTAACCATAAATTTCCAGTCATTCATAATAAATATTCGATTTATTTATTCAAAAATATTGAGTGTTAAAAATTTTCTGAATTTTTTGAACTGGAACTTTCAGTAGATAAGAAAGTTATAGAAAATTTTAGATTAAATTTTCACAAATTTATATTTAGAAGATTTAGAAAAACTTACTCTTAACCATTCTACCATATTTTCTTCTTTTTCACTATCAGCTGATGAATCTAGAATCAGACGTCTTGTTAAGTGTGCTTTATGATACCTCATAAAAACATCTTTATTCTGTACATATTTGAGTACAAGCAACTAGAAAAAAAACACATTACATGATTTACTTCAAAATCATAACATATATATTAAATAATTATATTAGTAGTTGCATCAAATCAATGAACAATATCTATCATCTTTTTAATAACATAATTACAGTATACATTGAAAATCAAATATTTTCAGAAACTAAACTTTCTTTCTTCAGATACAAATTAAGAGAATTCAAAACTTAAAATTATCATAAAAATATTAATCAATAAAATGATATAATAACTACATCAATTAACTAGTATTAGTTTTAATAATAATGTATACAATTAAATAAAAAATAACTTGTATTTATTGTGTACTTGTTCAGTTCCTCCTCAGTTCACTTACTGTGTTATTCTACACACCTAAATTATAAAAATGAATAAACTACATTATGAAAACTAAGTTTTTTTAAACCCCACACTTTTAAAAATCCTGCACTGAACATGTAATGACAACCATAAATTAAACACACATTTTTAAAAACTTATCATAATTAGTATTCAGTAATCACAGTACTGTAAACATTATAGTATTTTTCCATATTTATACACATTAAACCAAGTATAAGGGACACTGTATTTCTATAGTCCTTACAAAGCAAATTTCTTTTAAGGCAACTATCTCTTCAGATAATCTTGTTTTTTTTTTTTTTTTTGACAATTTTTGATAATCAGCTTACAGTTTAAAGTAATTTCATTGTTCACTGTGTCCTTCAGAGAAAAATAAATTATTTATACTTTATTATGTGCAACATATTAAAATTTAACAATAACTAAAAAATTATTTTAAATTAATTAATAAAAATGAACTTATAATAAGTTTATTTTCATTTTTAAACTTACTACTTCTTTTAATTTTCCTTCGATTTCATCTGATGTAAGTTTTCTACTTAAAGGTGTCTTCCTGAGTAACATATCACAATAATTTGCCAATAATTCTGGACATCGAGATTCTGGTTGGGTTTTGTTTCCAACTCTGTGAAATAAAATATAATTGAAAATATAAAATACTAATATTAAAAAATGTATTTCATAGGTTTTATTTACAAAAACTATTCAGTTATTCAATGAAGTTATTCTATTTTATATATACTACTACTAATTACTAATGTATAGTATATGCTTTAAATAATAGAAATTTTATATACAGTCAAACAGAAATTTAGTGCCACCACTTATTCATCATTAAATATGACAATAAATCAAGTGTGGCATTAAATTGAGGCATACCATCCCATCTTCAGATCACAATAAAAATGTTACATTATTCACATAAGTAAAATGTTCAATGTTATTTTTAGTTTTATGTAATATACAATGTTAACAAGTAATGACTGTTAATCTTCTGTTAATTTTTTAAAATGTTTTGATTTTTCATACAATTTTCATAATATGAATTTTAAATCCATTTGAATGATTTATTCTAGTTTGAACATAAATCTAAAAATGCTTTAAATACTAAAAGAAAACCCTTTTATACTGTATATAGCAATTTGATTTAAAATAACTAGTGAGTTGTACTTTTCAGAAAAAAACAATGATAAAGTGCTACTACAAATATAACTGTGGCAGAGTCTATCACAACATAATACTCACAAGGCATTGTAAATGACAAGGTAGATAATAGATTTGTGATTTGTAAAAGAACACTCTAAAATATAAATGGTGGTGGATTCATCCAGCTTAGTATTATTAAAAAAATTAATCATTTTGCTATTTATTTTGCTTCTTAATTTGATGTAAAATACATATAAATACATAAAATGATTAATTCCAATTATTATTTTAATAATAAGAGAAACAATCAGTTTCCTATCCCATTTTATTATTTCTTGTTTCCATTCATAATTTTTACTCCAATACTGTATCTTTATATTCAGAATAAATTTTTGTCAGAGGATACCATTGAAATACTTTAGTTAACTTAACGCCCATTGACGAGATAACTCGTCAAGGTTACATAGAGTTACGTAAAATTCGGTAGTTAAGGCCACTTTTGACAAAAAATTTTTTTTTGAATTTTTGGAATGTTTTTTAGGTCCCCAAATTTTTCAAAATTTTTTGTCCATGCGAAAAAATTTTATCGCGATTTTAATGAGCCTTTGATAAGGCTCGATTAAGGCTTAATTGTTTTTAATGGGAGTTTTTTATCAAATTTATTTCATGGTTCCTAAGTTGTAGCGCACGGATTTGACTTCGGTAAAGTTATTTAAAGCTGCTTTCTGATGTCAAAAACGACTTCCGATAGTTTTTTAATTTTTTTAATTAATAGATTTTATTATATAGAAGTTTAATTAATTAGGGGGGGTCGGAAATCGCAATAAAAATTATAATTTTTTTAAAATATGACTACCAAGTCT